AGAGAGAGAGAGAGAGAGAGAGAGAGAGAGAGAGTGAGAAAGAGAGATAGAACGTGAAAAGTTTGTTGAAACCATTTTTTATGCATTTATGTATTAAGTCTTTAAATGACATCGTGGCACAAACATCATTGATCTCAAAAACTCTCATAGATATGCAAAATCATTGACATTCCCGAAGTGGTAACGAAAAGTTCCCGCATTTTTATGATTCTACAGCATATTCAACGCTTGAAATATGCATGAAAAAACACTTGAGAGATTTTGTTTTGAGGATATTCAGTGTGGGAAATTATGTAAAGGCATCTGAACATCATTTTAAATAAATAACGCACATTTTTTTTTCTTTCCGCTTTGAGGCTAAACTTTTCGCTCAATTCACTGTTTGATGCTAGTTCTTGCTAAAAGGTTCAATATTTAGAGCGTTGAACATTTCAGTTGAAAATAGAAAGGGAGAAAAAGCGATCCGGAGCTGCTTACTCACTCGGGTAGGGTCTGCGTTTCGAGAGGGCACGAAAGAACACAACAAAATTATCATTATATGCAGATCAAAAGTTTTTGCCAACAGCGTCGATAGAGAGAGAGAGCGCAAAAAACTTTGTTGTTGTCATAGACAGTCAAACATCGTGGTTCCATTCGCTTAATCTATTGGAAATATCAACATAGCGGCAGCACAACATTTCAAAACGGATGTGAACACATAACAGCGTGATGCTATGGATCGCTTAAATGATTCAGTAGAATTGGCGTATTTTGCGCCTATACCTTAGTCGAGCTCCATCGATTCAATATCATTGTTGTTTATAAACGACTGTGCAAAAATGCCCCAAGCGTAGTCTAACACGCTCTGTTTATTCGCAACGAAAAGGATACATAAACACACGGTTTAATATTTTGTTTAAATAATGTAACAAACTTGTTTTCCCATCGGCAGCACAAATCAAAGATGATGATTCGATATTTTTTGCTGTTTGTGTTAGTTTATGGTATTTTGAGATTGGTGCTGCAGCCATGGCGCCAGTTTAGCCTTTCAACGTGGGAATTACGATTGCTGCCAAAAGGCTGCAAGGTTTACGTTTGATTGATTTTGTTTGGTAACAACGCGGATGAAAAAGAAATACGAAAAAAAAACCGACAAATATATTGACAGCCGCTTTTGAAGCTATTGTGAAATCGATGCCATTTTAATAAGCTGAGATTATCAATGCTAGTTGTTTCAAGCTTAAAATTCCGAAAAAATCCGATTGCAAATGTTTAATTTCTGATTGATTCATTGGGACTTCGATTTTTTTTGCCACATAACTGATTATGTCGAACAAAAGCATTTGTTTGTTATATAACTTGTTCATATTAGTCCTTCGAGTTTTGATTCTTCAATCCTTCTCTTTAGCAAACTAGATCTCACTGTCGTCTGTTTGCTAGATTATCCAAACATTGTTGATTTTCCTTTTCGTTTTTGTTTCACATTCAAATGTTCGCCAGCAAAGCGTATACATTTCCATCATTTCATTGATTTTATACATTTGAATTTTGTGAATGGAATTCATGAAATGTGCTACAATGTAGCATCAATTTAACCATGACATTCAATTGAAGTGAATGAAAACAATGCGCAGAATTATGGTTGACAATCCAAGCATTTTTGCCAAACGTCGTGCATGTGTTTACATTTGAGATTATCAAACATTTAAGCGCAACGACCCATTTCAATGGAATGAAAACCATTTATTTATTGTCTGTTCAACATATGTAAATTTCATGTGATTCATTTGCTTCATTTTGATTGTGGCATCATATCATTCTTGAATATCTAATCCAATAAAAATGAAAGAATATTATATTATGAAAATTCTAGAAATGCTGGTGCCCTTCTCTACACAAAATAAATGAACCTTTTCATTGGTTTCATCGTTGCAGGCGTCCTTGTATTTTCATAACATTTTGCTTTATGGTATTTATTATGAAAGCTTCACTTTCATTCATTTGACTGTGTGTATGATGATAAATTTGGATTGAAAGCGATGCACATCTGGATCTATTTTGGACTAATTAAATAAGTTCATTCTTTTGTCCTTGTATCTCTCTCTCTCTTTCTTATTCCCGCTCCTCGTTTACATGTGGAAATTTAGCATATTTTGTGTATTTGTGCTCTCTCTCTCTGTGTGTGTGTCAAGGTTTATTTAATTAATAGACGTTCAATGTGTTGAAAACGTTTTCGTTCTTTATTACATGTTCAAATTAAAGTTTCTTGCATTGAGAGTTTATTGTCGGTGTAATAATTTAGCTTTTCGTTCACTTCCATTTCCACATGCGGATGAACTGTGCACAAATGAACCGCACCACTTTTCAATAACATTTTCAATTCAATAATTTATTAATATGGAAAATTGTTATTGCCGCTTCGTCTGCTTTTGAATTTTCCTTGATTTGAATAGAGAATGAGTGATAATACTACAACATATTTCCACAACATAACGTTGGTTAATTAAATAATCGTTTCGTCAGCTTTTCACATGTATCTGTGTGTGTATGTATCATTAAAACAGGTTCGACTTCATATTTACTAAAAGGATTTTCCGTGTGGCTTTTGTGAAGCACACACACACTATTCAATATGAAGACGTGACGGAATAAGGAGAAACACAAAATTTTATATATATATTTGATGTTGATTTACATGCACGAACGACAGCTCAATGGAATGTTGAAAATGTTTAGTACGAGTTCATGTTAGACAAGCAGTTGACGTGCCGTTCATTCTACAGCAGATTGAAAATAGTTTCCGATAAAATAAGACAGATGTATTCAAAGAATGTTTCATGCTCATTTCACGTGTTACATGCTTCAACTATTTAAAGTTCATTATTATTTTTTGAAATCGAAGAAAATCCTGTCACAATTACTTTTGACTCGATTGTGCCAAGTAATTTTTCACAGTGATTCATTAAAATAAGCCGCCCGTTTGTCGAAATGATAAATGAATATGACATCTTGGCGGGTACGTAATCGCATAGATCACATTTGCCATTAACACAACACAAATACACTTATAAACTATGGCATTGTTTTCTGATGTGAAAATGTGAAAAACGTGCCTAGTTGAACACACCAAAAGCCTGCCGAAAATCGATTCGCGCCAAGTGAACGTATTCGGTCTTGAAGAGGATGAGAAGGATGACGACGACGTTTTTCGCATTTTCATTGCTTCGCCTGTTATCACAGTGCTGGCCTCATAAATTCATCAAGTGTAGACATATTTTCCATTGTTCTCACAATTGTTGAATGATGTATAATTAAATTCATTTTCACTGCAATCATTCTCTTATACTTTATTCACTGTACTGCAGTACAATACAATTTAAATGTGCCAACAAAAATGCTGAATTCTCCGTCTCTTTTGCAAATGACTAAAACTACGCTGAACAACTTCCGTCATTTCTATTCCGTATATGTGGAAAAAAATGAATCAACGAGCATTTTAGTTTAGTCGAGAATGTCATGGATTCTTTTTTTCTACAACAACAAAATGAACCGAAATAAACTAAAAGTGCCAACAGCAATAAGGAGAATGAGCAAAACGGATGGGCGAAAAATTGTCATGACATGAACTTATTCTGACCAATGTGACCACCAGCTGATTTGTACAAACCAAAGCTTCATCAGTTGGATCAGCGTAAACATTGCGTTCGTAACAAGTTGAAACGAGACAAAAACAACAACAAAAAAATGATATAAATCACTTATTCAACACCACACGCTACAGAATGGAACTAGCTGATTTTGCAGCCGCTACGCCATCGGTGGTAGTGTGATGATAATGGCAAAAGCATGTTCATGATGCTGTCAATGTTAAAAAGACTTTTGCCGCGCAGCACAGCATTGTAGCACTCAACAAACCTTTCAAACCAATCGATGATTTGTCAGCTGAAGTGGACCATTTTCACTCGTTTTTTGTTTCATTTCGATTGTTACTTTCTATGATGGCATGATTTTTGCTGCCAATATCAATTATATATGGGTTCATTTTGGCAGACCTTTGCCCACCATCCACTCAGAAATCCATAATAATGGAGAAGTGCGTCCGGTATCAAATGTGAAAACAAAAATCAATGCCAAAAACAAATTGAATTCAGAGCGCAGAGAATAGAGATAGTTACACTCACACAACTGACGCCATTGATTAATGATGATCATCTCGCATATGAGCTCTAAATAATCAACCAGTTTTTCATACTCCCCTTTGATGATTGTACCCTGTTTCACTTTTTTTCCCTTTGTCTCTCATCCGTTGACACTTGTAATCTCTCTATCGTTTCTCGTTTCGTTTTTTCATTGTATATCATCACTCCAAAAATGGCATCGCGGATTGTATATCTCTCATTTTTCTGCTTCATTCTGTTTTAAATGGCGTAAATGTTTGCTATGGATCGCTTTTTAAATTGCTTGAAATTGTTCATGCATTGTTTTCATCTCGATGTCTCCGCCTTTAGCCGTCTTTTATTCTTATCTCTCGCATCTTGTCGTTTTCGACTTTTGTCATTTATGTTATTAGTTTTGATGATAAAATTTCTGTTGACATTTATCATTTATTTTTCGTACAGTTATTGCGCATTGTTAAGCGACGCGTTACTTTGAATATGAATGAAATGCTCAAACTTCCCTCATTCACTTGATGATTCAGCACAAATATTACATATATGATATGAATACGATAGCGAAAAAATACGAATGTACAGTTTCGTACTGTGGAAATTTCAAAATATGGTAACAAAAACGGGCGACATCATATGCATTATTAAGAAAGTCAAGATGAGTTTTATTTGCCAGTTTTGAAGAAGCTTTTGACACAAACAAAAAAGTGTGAAATGATGACTTTCAATGATTGCGAGTGAAGACGTTTTTGATTGGCTTTTCTTCACAATGATTCTAGACAATCAACAGTGAATGATTGAAAATATTAAAATTAATATTTGTCATTTTTTTCCCCTTGCCTCCAAATATAGGTTGCCTACATCGTTTAAACAAATATTAGATTAAAAAAAATTAAAAAAGAAACTGAAACTGTAACGAATTTGATTAGACAACAAATAAAACATAATCCAAGCGAAAGTAATGAATCGAAGAAAAAATACGAAATCAATGTGGAGTAAGTTTGCCTCGCCGTCAAATCATTCGGCAACAACGCTTCTGATCGAGCCAGCCAGTTCAACAACAAAACTATTACGTGGAAATCGATCAATGGGTGGCTGTGATAATCATAGTTATTACGCGGCAACAGGTAAAACATTTTAATTTATAACGATTGACCGTAAACATAAACGGAGCACTTTTCTCACAATATATGACTATTAACATCACAAAAAATTGCTCTTGATTGCAATAAATGTTGGCGATGGTGTTGGGTGAATTATATGAGATTCCAGCTACGTTTATGGTTGCAAAAAGACCTTAAATGTTTCAAAATGAGGAAAACTAGTTGAAAAGTGTTTTTTATTTTATCGCCATTAGCCGCTATAATCCCCGCCGCAGCACGAACGGCATCAGCGCACGGTTCAACATCGGCACAAACAACACAACAAATTTACGGTGCCAGCAATGTAGTGGCTGGCCGATCATCGCCCGGTGCATTGACTGGAACAAGTGCAGCTGCCTTATCGTTTGCAGCAATGGAACAGATGCAAATACAAAATCGATTGTATTCAGCATAGCGAATCACGATTGAGGGCAACGATTCACAATGGTATCGGGGCCCACTCAAAGCTGCCTTTCTAGGTGCAAGAGGCGTCGGAAAAACCAGCTTACTTGAGGTAAGTTCAACAAAATGGAAAAGCTTTGTGAAGGACAATAAGAAAAAGATTCAAAGACACATCTCAAAAAAGGTCTCTTTTGTTGAATTCATTTCAAAGCATACTACTGTGCAAAAAGTAGCTTCGTTCTCAATCTTTGGGCTCTTTATTCACTCCGTTTTGTGAGTATTACAAAAGTAAGATAGCCAACCGATTGTCGAGCAAAGAAATCAAATTACTTAGTAACTATTAAATGGTAGCACTTGCTAGTTTTCGTGCCCTCTTCGTAGAAGACTTTCTATCTTCATAATCAACTTATGAAAGTTCCTTAATTAGTGAGAAACCAAAGAAAATAAAGAAAAAGGTGCACACACACAGCAAAATGGGTATCGTTTAATTAAAGTATATTAAATGGACCTCAATGTGCATTATGTGTAATGCCAAAGCGTTCGTAATTTTTCGTGCTCGAACAAAGAGAAAATGAGTCAAAGCGTCAAGAAAATAAGCAACTTTGAAAGCAGAAAAACGAAACTTCCATTTGATGAAAGTGCTTGAAGGAAAATAAAACTCCTCTCCACGATAAACACGCAATTTATTTATTTTTTGCTTTCAAACCGTTTTCATTTCTCATCAAAAGTTTTCTAATGATACTATGTTTCTCGATTGCCTTTAATATTAACTATATCTTCCTTTCGTGTAAAAAACCCACACGCATACACTTTAGCGTGGATAACTTAATAGATTTTCCAAGTATAATATCATCGATTTAAAAGTTTGGCCAAAAATAGTTGAAAACACAATAGATGATGAAAAAAAACTCAAACAATATTTTTTTGGGTTACAATGGATGCACTTATTATTAATCCGAAAATATATAAGGTTGCACGAACCATGCCAGTTTACTGAAGCTTTCATTAAGTAAACTGGATCAATTCCAACAAATTTTCAATGGCGTATAAATTTCAAGCACTTCGGAATTCAGGCATTTTCTTCGGTTGGCGTTCATTCTTCAGCAATTTGGTACTAATAATTTTACTTCAATAATGTCAGAAATTTTTCTTCTTGACAGTAAAAACGGAATTCCTTATATTAAAAATAATCCAACCGCATGGAATGAAACCATCGTATTTTTCTCCTATCTACGTTTTTACGGTTTAAAGTATTCTTTCTACTACTAACAAAATGTACGAATTCACTTTCATACCATAATTCAAAGAGTTTAGCAATCAAAATATGTATCACGTTAAATAAACTATACATGGCCATTAAATTATAAATTAGGTGGGCTTTTTCAGAGCTGACCCCAAAAGTGTGAAGTTAACATAGCATTTGTGTATCTCTTACGTCTGGATGTCTCAATGCATCTGTGTAGTCTTCTGCCAATAATAATTGGAACACAAAACGCAATGAATAAAAAAATGAAATCATTTTTCGACACTCTGACTCTCTAAGCGATAACTGTACAAATGTTCGGTTGTATTTCCATTGTAGAAGATTCCCTTATATAGAGACTAATTCATTATTTGTTTCAAGATGTCTGTTTTTAATATAAAAAATATGTGATAACGTCTATTTAGATATTTCCGAAGTGTGAGGTATTTTTCCATAGCAACTCATTATTGCGTTCTTCAACGCAAGAGAAACGTTCCTGATGAAAACAGAATCAGTTTGATTATGTATGAGTCAAAACATGAGTTTATATTCGGGTGTCGCAAAAGCAATCGAAAACATTAATTGGCAGGGATAACACCTTTATCAAATATATGAAAAATGATTACGCCAAATCGATAGATATTCAAATGGAATATTTAAAAAGAAAATCGTTTCGAGAAGAAAAAACAATACCAACTCTGTGGAAATTAAATATATAAATCATCATTTAAAATGAGCGAAATATTTTTCTGTCTCTGTTATAAAATGTTGTTTGGAATTTTTCGATTTTACGTAGGTTGCTCCATAATTTTTTTTAAAATGGTACTTATAGTGTTGCCCGATGTAAACCATTGTCATATTCGTAAAGTTTGATGTTTTGGTATGTATTCGTGCCCTGAACCTTTTGTCGTACGAACGCTATTTGTATTGTTTACAGTGACTGGTAAACTGCGACTCAACAAAAAAATGAATTTTACACGTGAAGATTTTCGTAAAATGATTTACTACGATTTTCGAAGTAAATTATCTCAACAACAGTGTTTCGATCGACTTCATTTGGCCTTTGGCAATGAAGCACCAACCCTTCAGACAATTTATAACTGGTACCGAGAATTCCGTTGCGGTCGTAGTTCGCTCAAAGACGAGTTTCATACAGGTCGTCCAAAATCGGCTGTTGTGCCACAAAACATCGATGCTGTCAGAAAACTGATTATGGAAGATCGTCATGTGACCTACCGTGAGATTGAGGCATCTTTGGGCATTTCATCCCACAGCATACATACAATTTTGCATGAACATTTAGCCGTAAAAAAGATTTGCTCTCGTTGGATCCCACATAAATTGACCGATGAACAAAAAATGGCTCGTGTGAGTTGGTGTAAAGAAATGCTCAAGAAATTCAATCGTGGTGCTTCAAAAGACGTTAATAAAATCGTCACTGGTGACGAATCGTGGATATATGCCTATGAGCCCGAAACGAAACAGCAGTCGACTGTATGGGTCTTCCAAAATGAAGATAACCCAACGAAAGTTGTTCGAGCAAGAAGCACTTCGAAGCGAATGGTCGCCTGTTTTTTCGGGAGAAGTGGTCATGTGGCAACCGTTCCACTAGAGGATCGTAAGACCGTCAATTCTGATTGGTATACCACCATTTGTTTGCCCGAAGTGTTTGGTGAAATAAGAAAAAACAACCACCGTCGCAAAATAATTCTTCATCACGATAATGCGAGCTCTCACACATCTTTTCAAACTACTCGATTTTTGACCGGTCAAAACATCGAACTGATGGGTCATCCACCGTACAGTCCTGACCTGGCACCCAATGACTTTTTTTTGTTCCCAAGCGTGAAGAAAAAACTACGTGGTCAACGATTTTCGACACCAGAAGAAGCAGTTGAAGCGTTCAAAACACACGTTTTGGAGATATCAGTTTCGGAGTGGCACGAATGCTATGACAAATGGTTTCATCGAATGCAAAAGTGTATCGATCATCTCGGGGAATATTTTGAAAAACAATAAAACCATTTTCGACAAAAAACAACTGTGTTATATATGTTTTTAAAAAAAATTATGGAGCAACCCTCGTATTACATTATACTTAGTCAGGATGTTTTGTCTATTTGGATTGAACGTACAATGTAGCACATGAAATACTACGTGCTTCTATTTATTTGAATTCTGCTAAATTCAAAAAATTCACCGTCTGAATATGGAATTGAGTGCCGGTCCCGTTTTATTTCATTTTAACATATCATCATGCTTGATAGACCTTTTTTTTTTCGTTCGCCATGGCGAGTTTCAAGTATTTTATTTATATTCAGGATGCTTTTCCGAAAAAAAAAATATATTGCATAAAAGTTTTTTAAAATAGCATAAATTGGAATATGATATATGTAAAATGTATTCAACAGAATACAAAATTATTGCACACACAAAAACATGGTGGAAGTTTTTTCATGCTTGAACAAAAAAATGATATCAGTTTCAAAATTCTCATTTACGTGAAGACAGCAAAAAAAAAACGTACTCGCAAAAACTTCAAAAGCATATTTTACGTATGGTCTCTGTTCTCAAGTTTTATCGCTATGTTCTTAATGAGTTTGCAAAGTATGTGGGTCGTTGGAAATTCATTCCACATTCGCATCGCAATCATACTGAAGACGAAACTCTGTGGAGTCATTTCAATGCAGTTTGTTATGTAATAAGCTTTTCAGACTACACCATCATTATCAATTCACATACTTTGCATTCAATGATATCAAGTGTTTGCAATCTTACTAACACCAACATTAGAATTTATGCATGTGTGTTGATTCCACAGCAAATATAATAAACGCAATCGACGCTTCTTCGAATCGATCAATAAATACTTTGCCATTTAACCGTGCTAACGAAGATGCTCAAACCCCAGCGCACAATGGTAACAAATAATCGCTTGCGTTATAAAAGAATATGTATGTACGCGAATTCGTCGAATCCTCGTTTACACATTACACACAATTTATTCAATAGATATTCAGAGAACGTTTTGAAGTGCATATGTGCTAACACTTCTTCATTATGTGATGTCTTATATACATTTTACTGAGAGATAGATTGTGAGTGAGAGAAATGGGGTTTATTTTTCGAATTGTATACAATAATCATATTCGAATTGAAATTAATGGAATTTTTGATCAGGGGCGTGCACATGTGTATTTTCACCTTATAAAATATTATCAATGATTACATTTTTGTTCTTATTTCTCTCTTTGCTCAATGCTTTTGCTGGTGGAAAAACAAACACAACCACAAACCAAAATATCGACCGACCATATGCAGCAATTTTTTAAGCATAATTTTCCAATTCGTCACTCTGCTACCACCAAACGAAATACTTACCGTAGTTGTTTAGTCTGTGACACGTGCATCCGTGAGTTGATCGTATTGGATGTGCCACTTCAGGTAAGACTCATATACACATTGATTTTGACCTCATTAGCCAAATAGCGATTGATTGCTTTGGTGGATACATTTAGTTTGATGAATTACACATCGAATCTAATACAAAATGTCTTTGTTTCATTTGTGAAATTAGCGACGGTTTCCTGTAGATAACTTAGCCGAATGGAACGGCGGTTGGAATGGATTACGAACCGTTCATGCATATGTGCTCGTCTTTGATATGGCAAATTTGGCAACGTTTCAGGTAAGTCATCTTTATGATTGATTTGTTCTGCCCCTTCTTCCTTCCGAACATAATACTTTTCTTCGATTATATTTCCATAGTTGTACTATCCGATCACGAAAAAAAGAGAAATACGAGACAAAAAAGTCCAATCAAAATAATTCAAACATTTGTTTGAAATTTCCAATTTAAAGAAATCGATTTACATCGGAAATGACAACAGTAATAATCAAAACTATAATAACGAGATTGAAATTGTCATTCCAAAACTTATATTGGACGACCATTTCATATGCGCTCTATCAAAAGCAATTGGAGCTTAATCTCGTATGACACACAGATACAGAAAATGAAATGTCCAAAATCTTTCATGTGCTATTATTGCTGATGACTTTATGTTTTTCCAATTCACTTGGCATTTAGCTAATAGAATTGTTCCACCCAGAAAAAGTATTTTTCGTATGTTCCTTGTAAATATTTGCTGGTTTACCCGAAAACCGAGCAAAAAACACATTATTCGATGTTTCGTCGACTATCTTTTTTTTCGATATTTTCATTCTCTTTCAATCTCTGGGAATTTTCTTCAATCATTTTTTTCTGGTTTATTTGTGTGCGTTTCTTTATAACAAAATTGCCTCGTTGGTTTCGTTGAAGCGAACGAAATCAATGCAACTTCACATACGTTTTGTGTTTATTTTGCCTGAAAATCGAACCATTTAATATTAAAATTGACAGATGCTTTCCCAGCACTTTATCAAAATAAACTATTTTTTAAAAAAACGAAGCATTCACTGTTGCACCTGATGGTATTACATGCAAACATTCCACTCCGTTTATCTACATTTTTCTCTCTCGTTGTTCTCGTTCTCGTTTTCGTTTTCAATGCAAATGCAAGTCGATATTGTAATTTATGTGCCTTTGTTATGTAAAATGCGATCAATGAAAATTCATCGTTAGTGTGTTTATATTGGTGCCGAAGTCACTGCTTTTCAAGTTGAAATATTGGTTCGTTCTCTCCGTACTCCCATTGAATACTTGTCGCATGCTTTTGATATTCAGTGACTGGAAAAATTAAAGAAAAAAATGTCTTCCGATTTTTTTTGTTCATTCGTCGTTTGGAAACCGCAATGCTCTGCTGATGCCGAATATAAAATACGAAAAGAGTGAAAACATTACAAAAATTTCGCACAATAGCGAAACACAAGAGAAATTAAGAAATTTTCCTTTCGATTTTTTAATATCCTTTTTTTCGTTCGGCACATTCTCTGGTCCTTCGCATACAAATGGCAATGATGGCGTACCAATGCAATGATACAGTTTTTATTTTGTGTTCACTCTGATTCTCGTCTGCTCGCAATTCGATTTCTTTTTTTATTTTCTATTGTGAGCTCGTGCTCTTAAAATTCAACAAAATAAGACAAAAACTTGAAACTCGCAAAGAATAGACAGTACACACACTTGGCCCTGGTAGTGCTTTCTTCTTCACTAAAATAGATAAAGAATGGGAATAGAGCAGAGAGAAAGGGAGAGATGCGACGATAAAAATAGTAGAAATGTGGAAAAAGAGATAAAATAAAAATGTCTACTCGACCGTAAACGCGCTACGAACACAAGAAGACGGAACAAATACACCCCATATTACCAAATAACAAACGCAGAGTATCTATACACAGAGTCTAAACGATGAAAATGACGGAAATGGAAATGGTGTAGATGCCATTGTATGCGATTATGAGCTTTTTATACTGTTGCCGAATAAAGAAAGTAGTTCTTAAGTTCGGTGCGCTACAAAAAAATATATATACAAAAATTACATGGAAAACCAATAACGAACAAATATAAATACTATGTGTTGGGTGCTGCTCCAAGGATTCACATGGATGAAGGAACAGAACAAATATCAGTAAGACACAACACAGTACCATCATCAAATCAAAGTAAATGAAGTGCCGACCGAGCATCTCTACAAATCGTTCTCGTCGTTCTCTCATTGTAAATGCGAAAATCTTGTCGATATAAAGAAAAGCCGCACAAAAACACCAAAAGCTGTCGATTACGCATTTCGTTTCCAGCATACACATTGAATGCTGCAAAAAAATTGTCAACTTTGTTTTTTGTTGTAAAATAAATCTCGTAGTGCTTCCGCTAGGGAAATGTAGAAATAAAAAATGAATAAATTCTCTGTCGTATGTATGGCTCGTTTTTTTTTGTCACCTATGTAAATACTTTTTCATTTGTTACTGTTCATTTATGTATAAAAAAATGAAGTCTGGAAAAAGATTAATCAACACAAAACACCTGGCGCATGAACGAACGCAAACATTGAATGAACAGATTGCCAAAAATTCGATTGTCAATTCGTTCGTTTTTGCCAAATAGCATTAGAAATCGACCAGAACAACGAAATATCCGGAAAGAAAGAGAACGAAATCGTCATCAGAAAAATATGTTGTTCGATTGCGATTCTCATCTTTATTTGGGCCTCAAACCTTTTTTCTCTCTATCTTTTGCGTTTCCATTTCTACAATTGAGTTCATTTCTAGTTGCATAACTTTCATTCTTTCGAAGATAATTCTAATACGCTTACCCTCGCATTCCAATTCATTTTCTCTTTTTACAGTATTGCCGTACGATGCGAGATCAAATTTTGGAGAGCTTTAACCATCGTGATTTCAGTTTAATGGTTGTTGGCAATAAATACGATTTGGTGCCGGATACAAGTCGACAATCTCAGGTTCGTATACATTTCATGTACATGAATGTTCGCATATGAAACAACATAAAAACACATATAAAAACGAACATTTTTCTCTCGCTATTTGGTATGTAGTTCACATCTTTCGTACAGCTCAATAGCTGTCGATTTATGCTGTTTGATATTTTGTATCGTTGCGAACATTCTCCGCATACATTATTATTATAGTTCACTGCGTTTTAGTAAAATTGGCGCCAATTGAACGATATTTTTTTTTACTTTTTCTCTATATTTACCCCCTGAATTGTTGTTGTTTTAGCATTTTACTGGACATGCACACATAGAGATAGATTTATCACGAAAATTGATTTTTTCGCTCTCTTTGGTGGTCCTTTTTCGACACCCTTGTCCGTGTCCAATGTCCATACCAATGTCGATTTTTGCATTTTGCTTCGGTTGATTTGCACTTTTTAATGGATTATTTTCGGTCGGATTTTCCTTTTTTACAGTTCAGCCTTTTAATGCAATTAAAAAATGGTTCAATATTTACCTGCCGAAAAATGATGTTTGGATTGATTTTTTTTTTTTTTTTCAAAAAAATCATTTTTGTTTTGGTAATAAAATTGCTTTTTGAATCACAAGCTCAATATATCCATCATTACGATTTGCGAAACATACACACAAAAAAATTTGCGGAAAAATTTAATGTAAAAGCGGTTACTGAGTAGTGTG